GGATTTTGACTTGTATACAACTTAACGCCAAACTCTTATGTGCAATCTTTACTCGATCGACGCTTCAAGAATCTTCCAATATCATTAATTCTGCTCCAAGCCTTCATCTGTAGCAATCAACCCTTTGATTCTACCGATTCCTTGAGCGGTGAATTGTCTGAAGATTTGAGAAGAACCCACCTTATCCATATCTTTCCATAAAATCACTACAAAGGAAATATAGAGAGAAGAACCTCATTCTTTTCATCGGAATTCCTCAGTACTAGTGACAACTCCTCAATCTTGCAACAAACTGAACAATCTTTAAACAATCTCTAAGAATAGTTAGTTTCAAGACAACTTCTCCCCCAATCAATCACATATCTCTCATGATCAAGAACTTTGAACTTTTCAAAGTGAGAGAGTTGATTTAACAAAAAATCACAAATGAATATAAAATTCCATACATGAAAAAATGTTGACAAGAGGTTTTATATGTTCTTGAGTTTAAGCACAAAAGTGAGTGGTAAAAGTTGATTGTATTCGAATCATGAACAATGCATGTAACGAGTCAAGTAATCAAGTGAATGAAATACAAACTATTCTGATTTTTGACCCATTTTCACTTGATTCAAATCAGGTTCAATGTCTGACTCGAATAAGAGACCTCATGATTTGAATCATACACAAACTCTGTTTCGAATCAAATGCTCCAGGTTCTTAAGAAAAATGTTGAAAAACTGTGTGATTTGAATCATGTGCAAAGTGTGATTCGAATCAAATTGATTAGTGGTGATAGAAAAATTGATTGATTTGAATCATGTACAAAACTTGATTCTTATCAAGTTGTTTTGAAAAGTTTTTGTTCACCCCTGTTGAATTTGATTCGAATCATAATAAGTGTGCATCTTGATTGATTCGAATTAAACACTCAAAAACTTATTTTTCATGATTCAAAAGGTACATTGAGATTATTCATTGCACCTTACTTGAATAAACCACATACAATTTTTATTCCACAAACTCATGCAATTGACTAAAAACATCTTGATGAAATTCAAAGGTAACCATTATATTACGCTTGCTAAAAAGATGACAAATCAATTTCAAACTTTATTCAAAAGATGTGCAATCATGAGGGAAACTCGATAAAAGATAATAAATGAAATAAATGAAAGTGATGAGACAAGCAACAAAATAACCATATCGGGGATGCTCCATCTACATATGATAAGGACATGCAACCATCCCTCCTAGGGATGTGCAACCACATTCTCCCCCTTTTTTATGCTTGTCAAGCTTTATGTTGTAATTGAGTGGACTTTGAGCTAAAAAAAATCTTGTGCTCCCCTTGAAACATTGCACACACAAACCACAACATAAAATGAATAAAGGAATTCTAAACTCATTACAAATTTATCACTCTTTGACAACGTCAAAAAGAGATACCAATTGTCATGGATCTTGAAACCAAACAACCAAACAAAACAAATAATTCCATATGGATATATGAGCTAAATATCTAAGAAGAATACATAATAACGAAGATCAGATATATAATAAGAAGATAACATGCTACATGCAACAAAATGCAAAAATAGACATGCAACATAAATGTTCAACAACATACTACAAGTGATCAAAACTATCATAAAATGAAATGTGTTAACAATTTAAATAATGCATGAACAAGTATATTAATGCTCCAACGCACATAATTAATAATACAAATTAAAAAAACTTAAATGCCAACTAGAATTATCAAAACATGCCAGATATGAATGAGAATTGTAAAGATGGTAGTAGAAAAACCAATAAACATATCTAGAACAATCACACAAACAATGATACACACCAGATACTAGATTTATAGAGACATACCAATGTAGTCGGTAAGAGAATGAATTGTTACAAAATAGTGTTAGTGAAAAGAAAAATTTACATAGCAAATGAAACAAAATAGAATACTTGTTCTATTTAAGACATGAGGAATCCAAGATTCCCAAATCCCTACAAATATTATTAAAAGGGTTTGATGACAAAGGTTTTGTAAAAATGTCAACAACCTAACTTTTAGTGTCAACGTGTTCAAAAATAAAATCCCCTTGTTCAACATGGTCTCAAAGAAAATGGTGTCAGGCCTCTATATGTTTAGTTCGTGAATGAAGTATCAGATTCTTAGTAAGGCTAATCTCACTAGTAATATCACACTTAATCAGAATGCAACCAAGTTTTAAATCATAGTCTAGCAATTGTTTCTTAAGCCATAAGACTTGTGCATAACTACCAGCTGCTACATATTCAACCTCAGTGGTAAAAAGTGTAACACTATGTTGTTTCTTACTATTCCAAGAAACTAAATAGCTTCCAAATAAGTGAATGGTACCACTAGTACTTATCCTATGTGACTTGCACTCCGCGAAATCACAATCATAATAACTTACTAAGCTACAAGCACTACATTTAAGATACCAAAAACCGTGATGTGAGGTTCCGTTAAGATACCTCAAAAAGCATTTTACAATCTTAAAAATGTGATTCCTTAGGCGATGCTTATTATCTAGCACACATGCACACGCCTAACATGATATTAGGCCTACTCGCAATTAAATAGATTTAGAATCTGATCATACCTCTATACCTTATAATGTTAAAGTTCATTCCTTTTTCTTCTTTGTCAATAAGCATATTAGATGAAATAGGTGTTGATATACTTTTTGAGTATTTCATATCGAACTTCTTGAGAAGCTCTAAGAAATATTTTGTATGAATTATGAAAGTACCTTCTTCGGCCTGCTTAATTTACAATCCCAAGAAATATGTCAGATCTCTATGTTGACAGTTGCGGTTAGCGACTCTCAAAAAATACTTGAGTAAGTATCTTTTATCGTCTCTACAGGGATTAGTACTGCTGAATTATCGTTTGATAAGTCTCGTGTTCTTGAGTTTGGATTTGAATGGTTTAAAGGTAAATGCAGGAGTTAAAGTTATTAACAGAAAAAGAATTCATTCTTCGGAGAGTAGAGAACTCTTGGGTTTGCATTTCACCTACCTTATCAAATACTTAAACTTACTGCCCAATTGCACTCAACCTAAATCACTCATTAACATTATCACATATCTCTCACACAGAGGTTATCTCTAACGTAGAGTGAGACAATAACCATATTACTCGTGTCAGCGATCTCTCAGTGCAACACAAACAACACAGAAGCATTAAGTTCTGATACTCAAATGAATATTAAGCTTAAACCTATCTCTAGAGTCTAGAACCTAATAGATGTTCATCCTAAATCTAGATTCGACCCGTCCATGTCTACAACAACTCAAACCCAAAAAAAGAATGCAATCATCAATATTAATTTGTAAGATGAGTTTCATACAACACCATGAGCAATAAATATATAGATAACCAAGGTAAAGTTACATACAAAATCCAAAAAATATAGAATACAAAGAGAAGAAGATAAGAGGAACAAAACATCTGTTGGTTTGTCAGCGCCAATCAATGATAAATTTGACCCCGGATCATCCAGCTGCAAGCTCCATTGTTGTTTTCTAATCTCTAAACTATCAAAGAATGTGTAGCGACTAGTTTTTTAATCAGAGCCGCCACTATTATTTTTTATCCTAGGGAAGGGAATCTAACAGAAAACCCTAATTCGCAGACAGAGATTCTAGGTTTCGAACTTCTTTAGACGAAAGGAATGTGTTAGGCACCTTTCATCTACCTTGTTCACAAGGATCCCGTGTTTTAGGTTTGAGTTGAGGAAACAGGATTTAAATTTTATTAGGGGAAGGGTTTAAATATTTTTATAGGGGAAGGGTTTAAATTTTTTATAGGGGAACTCGCTACGGTTCTTGATCGTATGCCTACGTATCCTCTTATGAGGAATCAGAGTACCAATTCGTAGTTCATAGTGTTGGTTGGTGTTTTTTATAAGATCGCATAAAATTTCTTTCGAATTAACCTTGAACCTTGATCGAGTTGTAAGTTGAGTGATTGTAGACGCAGTTTGCAGTTAATTTGAAAATAATTCTCCTTAATCCTTTTTTTGAAAATAATCTTGTAGTTTTTGTTATGTTAGTAGAAAATATAGTTTGTAATTGGTTAGCTGTTTTGGTATTTGATTTGATCAAGATATGGAGCGGGGGAGTCTGATATGGTCTCCTCCTTACGTGTTCTCGTCATGTGGCCAGATATTGACCCCGTGTTGCTTGTCATGAAGGATGCGGAGGAAACCTGATATAATCTTCCTCATCACGTGTTCTCATCACGTGGCCAGATATTGACCACGTGTTGCCCGTCATGAATTTAGCGAGTTGCATGGATTTCAATTGTTTGATTGTAAATGATAAACTGGTAGACAATGTGTCGACCAATTTAATTATTCGAAGGGGAACATCCTATTGTTCTCGAAAATGTTGAATTAATTATATGAAAAGAAGCACGATTAGTATACCCGAGTTTATTTAAATAGGTTTAGTAGTTGCAGGGGTAATTGCTTTTAATATTTATAATGATTAGAGAACTAAAGTAATTAATCTAAATTAATTAAAATAATTAAAATTAATTTAATTAACCAAAATTAATTAACCCAAAACTATTAAACTAAGATAATTGGGTTAGAGGTGTGTATTGAGTTAGGGGGTGCTAATTGGTAAGGTGGGTGTAAGATTTAGCAAAATTATAGACAAGTAAAAGATTATAAACATTGGCCCAAAAGGCTCCACTCAAAATAAATCCTAATTTCTAAATTTTAATTAAATAATTTAAAATCTAATAAACTAAAGAGAATATGTCCATCTAGTCTCCTCACGTTGCTACAATTCCAAAATTCCATTTCTCATACCTAATGAAACAACGACACATGGCGAGAGAGTTTAGAATAAATAAAAAGAAACAAATGCCTCTCTCACGCTATATTACTGTGAACAACCTCATTTTTCATTGATAACAAAACCTCTTCTACTCTTTGGAACATCAACCACCATAACATCATATCAAGAAGAAAACAAAAATGGCAGAAGAAAAAGAAATAAACTCCTATCTTAGGATGGAGGTCACTGGAATCGAAAGGGGCAGAGCGCAACACGACGTCCATGGCGGTTTTCACGGCGGGTTCTATATACAGATCGCTGCAACTCCGTGTGCTGTGGGCTTTCCGACGGAGATGCAGATCAAGGAGGAGGTGGAAGGCGATCTCGATTTCGTGAGCGGCGGAATCGCGAATCGCCGGAGGGCGGAGTTGGTCGCGATTTTCCGGTGATGGCAAGGTTGTGTGTCGTCGGCGAACGGTGACGGCTTGGGTGCACGATTATTCTCGCGGTGGCTGTTCATCCTTGAAGACGTTCGTTGGCTTGATTTTAGTGTTCTTCTTTTCCTATTCAATCTCAATTGATTCTTTACACCAATTCTTCTACTCTCTTTCTTTTTTCGTATGCTGTTTGTTTTTCCAGAGTGCTTCCTCTTCCTAAACAATCTGCAAACAAGACTTTAAAGAACAACAAAAATTGTGAAGAAGAAAAAAATACACAAGTCACATATTTAGCGATAGCGCCGAAGTTTTGCTTCTTATTTCTTTTTCTACTTTCGTATCACAGATTTTCTCTTCTCCTGCAAAAAAACTCACAGGCAAGAAATTTGTGGCTTAAAAGTCTGGTGATTACAGGCTTTGATTATGATAGATGATCCCAATGAACATGGTTATTTTTGTATTCTTTGAGTAAAACCAAATTTGTTTAGATTTCTGAAAAAATTCTTAATTTAAAATTTGCAGTTTGCAAAAAATATGATAATAAAAAAATTATATATAAAAGTAATGATTGAAAGAAGGTTTATAGATAATATGATAAAAACTAAACAAAAGGGAAGATATGAAAATTGAATTTGATGATGAGACTATTACTATAAGTTTTATGTGAAAATTGAAACAATGAAGAATAAAACGGTGCAATAAGTAGGTTGGAATTGTGCATGTCCAACGTTCAGAAAAATCTTTATAGATATAATAAAAATAAATCGAAATTAAGAAGATTAAATTAGAAATAATATAGAGGCCTCATAAGAAATTATTGGTCAAAAATAAAAAGCAATTTTGGAGTTGTTGTGAATATTTCTGGATAAATTGTTGATGAAAAATTAAGACAACAATGAGTCATATTTAGAGTAAAATTATGTTAAAAACTTGGAGAGAAAGCTAGCCCAAAATGAATAAAAGGGTCAAATTAAATTTTATTTATTTATAAGTTATTTTGACTATTTTTTTAAATAAAATAAATATTTTAATAAAAATAATATTTTTAAAATATAATAAATAAATAAATACGAAAATAATAATTTAATAATAAAAATAAGATTTTTGTGTTTTAGAAAATGAAAATAAAGTTAGTAATAATAAACAGAGATTTCAAAGTGCTGATCGTTCTGCTTGCCAATCTTTCTCCCTTACCAAATGTGCTATGTTACTTATTCGAAAATAAAAAGCCATTTCAAAGTATATGATAGCGAATAATTATTTGTTATTTTTACAAATGATTATTATATTTTCAAACAGACTTGAAAGCGAATTTTTATTAAAAACTTCAGAATGTTAATTGAAGGAATTTTATATCTGTAAAACTCAAGTTCGAAAAAAAATTTGGCGGTAGCACTAAGGCGGGAAAATTTGGGGTATGGAAGTTGCCCTTATTTAAGAACTCTTCGATTGAATGGCGTAAGAATGCGTAGGTCTTTGTTCATTCGAATCGTAGATTTATTAAATAATGGAAGACCCAAAACTTTGACCAATGGTTGGCTAGATAGGATTACGCTGATATAGCATACCCCTAAGGGTTGTCTAGATAGGGTTACGCTGATATGGCATACCCCCAAGAGTTGGCTAGATGAGGTTGCGCTGATATAGCATACCCTTAAGAGTTTTGAAGAGAATAGGCAAAGATGATGATGTATCACTTTATCAGGATGTGATGACGAGGCAGATGGTTTTGAGCTTGAGAGAGTGATCTCGTGTCTTGGTTTGCTTTTGCTTATTCATCCCTTTTGGAGGGATGAATGAAATAGTAATTGGTGATGCATAGCTGCTTGGAGACTGGGGCCATGGGTTATATTGGTGAATCGCTGCGTGAAGTCTGAGGCGATAGGCTAGATTTGTTTTCGAGCATCACTGCATGAAGTCTGGGGCGATGGTTTGTGTTACGGAATAAAGAAACACATTGCTGCCCGAGTTCTTAGGCAATGGTCTATATTGCATCGCGAGGAACCGCACAGCTGCACGGCGTATTAGGCAGTGGGCTGGATGAGGAGAGTACAATGAGGCATAGAGACAATACACTGAGTTTTGCGAATACATTGCGGCTTAGAGGCAATGTACTGAGTTTTGGCGAATACATTGCGGCTTAGAGGAAATGTACTGAGTTTTGCAAAACATTGCGGCTTAGAGGAAATGTACTGAGTTTTGCAAATACAATGCGACTTAGAGGCAATGTGATGAGTTTTGCGAATACATTGCGGATTAGAGGCAATATACTTAGTTTTGAGAATACATTGCGGCTTAGAGGCAATGTACTGAGTTTTAAGAATACATTGCGGTTTAGAGGCAATGTACTGAGTTTTACGAATACATTGCATGAGGCAATATGCTGAGTTTGGGGAATACATTGCGGCTTAGAGGCAATGTACTGAGTTGACAATACATTGCGGCTTAGAGGCAATGTACTGAGTTTTGCGAATACATTGCGGCTTAGAGGCAATGTACTGAGTTTTGAGAATACATTGCAGCTTAGAGGCAATGTACTGAGTTTTGCGAATACATTGGGACTTAGAGGCAATGTACTAATTTTTGAGAATACATTACGGCTTAGAGGCAATGTATTGAGTTTTGCAAATACATTGGAGCTTAAAGGCAATGTACTGAGTTGAGAATATATTGTGGCTTAGAGGCAATGTACTGAGTTTTGAGAATACATTGTGGCTTAGAGGCAATGTACTGAGTTTTGAGAATGCATTGCGGCTTAGATGCAATGTATTGAGTTGTGAGAATACATTGTAGCTTAGTGTCAATGTATTGAGTTTTATGAATACATTGCGGCTTAGAGGCAATGTACTGGTTTTACGAATACATTGCGGCTTAGAGGCAATATACTGAGTTGAGAATACATTGCGGCTTAGAGGAAATGTACTGAGTTTTGCGAATACATTGCGGCTTAGAGGCAATGTATTGAGTTTTGCGAATACATTGCGGCTTAAAGGCAATGTACTGAGTTGAGAATACATTGCGGCTTAGAGGCAATGTACTGAGTTTTGTGAATACATTGCGGCTTAGAGGCAATGTACTGAGTTTTGCAAATACATTGCGGGTTAAAGGCAATGTACTGAGTTTTGAAAATACATTGAGGCTTAGAGGAAATGTACTGAGTTGAGAATACATTGCAGCTTAGAGGCAATGTACTTAGTTGACAATACATTGCGACTTAGACGCAATGTACTGAGTTTTGCGAATACATTGCGGCTTAGAGGAAATGTACTGTGTTTTGCAAATACATTGCGGCTTAGAGGCAATGTACTGAGTTTTAAGAATACATTGCGGCTTAGAGGAAATATACTGAGTTTTGCGAATACATTGCAACTTAGAAGTAATGACCTGATTTTTGAGAATACATTGCGGCTTAGAGGCAATATACTGAGTTTTGAAAATATATTGCAGCTTAGAGGCATTGTACTGAGTTGAGAATACATTGCGGCTTAGATGCAATGTATTGAGTTTTGAGAATACATTGCGGCTTAGAGGCAATGTACTGAGTTTTAAGAATACATTGCGGTTTAGAGGATATGTACTGAGTTTTACGAATACATTGCATGAGGCAATATGCTGAGTTTGGGGAATACATTGCGGCTTAGAGGCAATGTACTGAGTTGACAATACATTGCGGCTTAGAGGCAATGTACTGAGTTTTGCGAATACATTGCGGCTTAGAGGCATTGTACTGAGTTTTGAGAATACATTGCAGCTTAGAGGCAATGTACTGAGTTTTGCGAATACATTGGGACTTAGAGGCAATGTACTAATTTTTGAGAATACATTACGGCTTAGAGGCAATGTATTGAGTTTTGCAAATACATTGGAGCTTAAAGGCAATGTACTGAGTTGAGAATACATTGTGGCTTAGAGGAAATGTACTGAGTTTTGAGAATACATTGTGGCTTAGAGGCAATGTACTGAGTTTTGATAATGCATTGCGGCTTAGATGCAATGTATTGAGTTGTGAGAATACATTGTAGCTTAGTGTCAATGTATTGAGTTTTATGAATACATTGCGGCTTAGAGGCAATGTACTGGTTTTACGAATACATTGCGGCTTAGAGGAAATATACTGAGTTGAGAATACATTGCGGCTTAGAGGAAATGTACTGAGTTTTGCGAATACATTGCGGCTTAGAGGCAATGTATTGAGTTTTGCGAATACATTGCGGCTTAAAGGCAATGTATTGAGTTGAGAATACATTGCGGCTTAGAGGCAATGTACTGAGTTTTGTGAATACATTGCGGCTTAGAGGCAATGTACTGAGTTTTGCAAATACATTGCGGCTTAAAGGCAATGTACTGAGTTTTGAAAATACATTGAGGCTTAGAGGAAATGTACTGAGTTGAGAATACATTGCAGCTTAGAGGCAATGTACTTAGTTGACAATACATTGCGACTTAGACGCAATGTACTGAGTTTTGCGAATACATTGCGGCTTAGAGGAAATGTACTGTGTTTTGCAAATACATTGCGGCTTAGAGGCAATGTACTGAGTTTTAAGAATACATTGCGGCTTAGAGGCAATATACTGAGTTTTGCGAATACATTGCAACTTAGAAGTAATGTACTGATTTTTGAGAATACATTGCGGCTTAGAGGCAATATACTGAGTTTTGAAAATATATTGCAGCTTAGAGGCATTGTACTGAGTTGAGAATACATTGCGGCTTAGATGCAATGTATTGAGTTTTGAGAATACATTGCGGCTTAGAGGCAATGTACTGAGTTTTGAGAATGCATTGCGGCTTAGTTGCAATGTATTGAGTTTTGAGAATACATTGCGGCTTAGTGGCAATGTACTGAGTTTTACGAATACATTGCGGCTTAGAGGAAATGTATTGGTTTTGCGAATACATTTTGTCTTAGAGGCAATGTACTGAGTTGAGAATACATTGCGGCTTAGAGGCCATATACTGAGTTTTGCGAATAAATTGCGGCTTAGTGGAAATATACTGAATTTTGCAAA